AAATGTTGTACATAGTATAAAAAAAAATTTTAATTTAAAAATTAAACATTAAACAATCAAAAAATTCCTCACTTTGCTTAGAAACTGAAGAAATACAAAAAAGGAAATTATTTCATATTGAATATATTTATTTTTTTTAATAATGCTTTAGTGAGCACGGAAATAACATCTATTATAGTTAAAACTATTAAACTACTTGTCAATATTTTTTTTCAATACCTAGGCAGGTTTTTTTAATCAACTTTTGTTGTTTAAAAATGAGGTCGATAAATAATAAAGCTCTCTAACGTGGTAGATTATCAAAATATCTATGTAATATTTATAATTTATTACTTTGTGCATATTATTTATTATAATATATTTACATAAGTATATCTATATTCTATACATTCAAAAAGATATTATCTCAATGAAATTGAGACATACTCGAATACCTTTCAGCTGTATATCGTATAGTAGGTTTAGAATAAAACTATATCTACTGAAAATTATCTAGAAAACAGTAACAATAACTATAGCATTTCCCTAGACTTCAAAGACTTAAACTACAAGAGATTGATCATTTTACTTTAAATAAGAGGAGGAACTTCGTCCCACACACACCTTAACTATTGCGTATAGAAGATTATTTTTTTTTTAAATAATAATATAACATACCTTATCCCTCTAGCCGTATATCTTAGTTGATATTATAGTCGTCCAGCAATTCGATTGATCACAATGTCTATAATAAAAATAAATAGCACTCCATCCAAAAGTTTTTTAATCGAGAACTGCATGGGCAAATTCGAATTTTCCAGAATTGTTAAACAATAAATTATAATGCAAACTATTGTTAAACATTTGCCGGTATTTATACATATTATATACAATATTAAAATACTGAACCATCGTTTTAACGCTAAAATTGTTGGTTGGAATATGGTAATTACACTAACAAGTATTACATACCTAACTACATTTTTAAAAATCAACTTCAATTCCTTACTCTGTTCTATTACTAGTATTACTGAAAATAAATGAAACGAATAAGAAATAATTATTTTCGTAATATTGCTGTTGTACATTATAGTGTACAATCATCAGTACAAATTGGGTATTATCTTCCGACGATTTTATAGAATATACAGTTTATACATAGCAATACTAATTGTTAAGTACCATTTACTACAAATAATATAATCTGGTGGTGATGATAACATGATGATGAATTCAAAACATATTATTCTTTATGGTTGTAAAATAATATTATGTATAATTACTTAATTCGGTTAATTATGGGTTATTAAACAGATGTATAATAGAATTGCTTTAATATAAACTAATAAATTAAACAGAACATAATCACTTGATATTTTATAGTTCCCATTTTGATAACGTATAGAATGTTATAGAGATTACGACAAACAGTAGGTATTATTACTAATATCACGAGAGAATAGGAAGAAATTAAAACATAGTTGATCGAGAAGATGACTTTTAAAATCGTATGCTTATTATGTTAGAACCTTTTAAGTTTTGGACCATAACTATCGTCCATGATCTATTTTATTCGTCCATCGTTATGCATCGATGTTTGTTTCCAAATCAATAAAAATTAATAATTAAAAACCAGTAGGTATTTATTTGGGTATTAACTTAGTGTTACCTTTTTTTTTTTAAATTTTAGACTCTGAGTGTAACAAAGGATTTATTGGTTTTATAAAGATGTTTATTTTTTTATAATGTGTACGAAAATTCTACCAGAAATCTTGCTCCGATGTATACAATGTAGACCTTTTCTTGAAAGGAAATTTTCATGGGGTGGTACTTTAAGAAGATCATTTTTTGATTTTCCCGACAGTTTTCCCAATAAAAGGGAAAAAGTGATAAAAAAAAATGTAAGAAAACGGAAAATTTACGAAAATAATTATCGGTACAATATTAAACAAATATTATTAAAAAAAAATATATAGTACCTATTTAATTATTTTACCATAATAATATGACATATCTAAATATTGTTGACAAAGCAACTCTATCAACTGAACTCCACTCAGAATCGTTTTTTCGTTAGCAAAAGTTTACATCGTTGTTTACAGATATATATTAAATTTTCCCTTTACTACTTTTCCAACTTCTCACCTACAACTGTGGTTGCACCCACGTGCGAAGTATATCCGTCTATTTTTATGTATAATGTATGTTATATAATATATACCTATATTTTTTAAATACCTAGTTTTGATTTTAGACACCTACCTACCAGCATATCGTAGTAAAAGTAGATTATTATTTACAACTGCACATACATGTATAATCAGGATAAAAATAATCCACATTTTTTAGGGTACGGCATCATGAACGAATGGGAGCATTTTTATTAACCCAAAATTTACCTTTCGAGAAAAACTATATAGGTAGTTTAACTAATTTAATAAAATAACTTTTTCTTTGTTCAGAATCTAAAAGTAAGTTGTTATCTAAAGTTGATTTGAAATCCCCTTCTGATCCCTCTCATAAAATACGAATCAGTCACATCAACAGTATCATCTTCTTTTGCTATAAATAAATAACAATAAATATATTATTATTATTATTTAACATTATTAATCTGTCTTTATTATTACAGTATTTAAAGTGGTATATTAGTAATTCAATTTTTGGGTGTGCGCACTTTTGAATGATATTTTATGACAAAAAGAAATCTTCTCGGTACCCCTAAAAATGAAAATATTCAACATTTTTACATTGCATTCCAAAATAAATACTTTTTTCTTCTTTTTTTACTTTAGCCACATTAATACAAAGTTGTTTCTAAATATCATATTAACTATTCAATATTCTTGAAATACTTATCCAATAAATACAAACTATACAATTTATTATAAAACTTAGACTAGGTATTTTATAATTTTATTATAATATTTACCACTAACTACTAGTCGATTGACAATTGATCAGATATAATCGACCTTAAAATTGGCTTATCAATCATAATTCTGTGCATGGACTAAGTATGTGATGAATATTTATTTATAAGTTTATTAAACAATTGTCATAGATAATAAAGATTTTTAATAGTTATGTATAATAATTATATGTATTGAATTTGTTATCTGAAAATAATTTTTTTTTAAAAAAATTTGTTTTTGATGACTCGCACAACAATGATGAAAATATGTTATTATTAATATTTCAGTGATTATTTATCAGTTTACTTACATATGGTCTATTTATTAAAAAGATTAGATACCTATATGGTTATATAAATGTATTATGTGAAAAATACAATTTGGGTATAAGTACACCGTATACCCTCTATTATACCACTATTTATAATTATGAAGACATCATACACAGTGGCATGGCATAATGTAATCAGTGGTGTAAGCAATCACCAACAATTGTATACCTACTTATTAAACCTCCATTTTACCATTTTACCATTTTTAAAATTAATATTATCAAAAAACGATTTAAATCATATTTGAAAGTTACTTATATATCATCTCCTTATACTATTCCAAAATTTAATAGATAATTTTATATTATTTGAATTTGATCATGGCTAAATTGTTTATTTAAAATTATACCTATAATATTCTATAACTGAAAGTATAAGCAACTATAAGCAGTTGATTATACAATTATATGCACTCCACATCACTGATCATACATTATAATCATCAAATATTCTATATTATAAAATAATAATAATAATAATAATTTCATAAAATAGTTTTAAGTTATTTCATATATAATTTATCAATTTGCAAATATTAAACTACCTCAGTGATAGATTAGTAATGTCTATAATAAAGTTCAAATATAATATATAATATGTAAATATTGTTTATTTATTTATTTTTTTTTATTTGAGCTTCAAATATTTAAATTATTACATCTCGACAGTTAATAATACCTTGTCATCAGCAGCTTACATTTATAACGAAAGAACATTGTAAAAAACATCAACAGTTAAAACAAAAAACAATGCAAATATGCTATGTATACGTTACGGTTAATTTTGTAAAATTAGTTAGTTGTTATCATTATACTTTAACCTATTTTGTGCTGGTTGTTTTAATAATAGAGTGCAATATGCATTAGCCTATTAAACAACTTAAGGGTAAGCATATTTGTGTTTGTATGTAGTTTTTTTTTTAATATTTTAATTTTTAATTCAGATTCAACAATTTTTTAAATTGTAATATTTCACATTAAAACCAACACACAAATAAATTATTCATGAACTAGATTACAAATTTAGATTAAGTTGATATATTGGAGTAATATTTATGATAGAAAATGCAATGGCTGCATCCATGTGTGAATCATGTCCGTATTAACCTAACCATGTCAAGTAAAAATTGCTATATATTAATGAAGATCAATTAATGGTATGGTAGTTTTGCCTATCGTAATACTGTAATCAATACATTATCAAAATATATAAAAGATAATATAATAATATAAAAGCTTTACAAATGATACAATATCAGTTATTTGTTAGTTATTTATACGATAACCCACAAATTCTATTCACTATTCAGTACAGTTCTTACCACTTATTTATTTTTATTCAATTTCATTTATCAGATAAAATAACTTATGAAAATACATATCATATCTTGATAAGTAAACTGCGAGAGGTATTATGAATTTTAGAAAATGAAAAATTCATTCTCTCAAAAATGTTTAATGACTGATGGTGTTTTTGCTTATAAGCGCAAAAAATTAGCTTATACACACCCATCCATAAGGACAGAGTTTTCAAAAAACATGTTTTTAATTATTCGTTTAAAATTGATTTATCCTAATGTAATATTGAAAAAAGTCCATTTAGCTGACTCAAGTAAGTTTAAGGTGTAAGCTAAAGCCCCCTTCTAGTTTACTCACTGACTAGATTAAATTGAAAAAAAGATTCATTTGTAGAATAATATTCAAATTAATTGTCCAAAAATAATATATATACACAATATTTATGTATACCATATATTATATTTATAATAAAGGTACATGCATATAAACTTTATAATTATTCATATTAAAGACAGATTTTGATGTAATTCTAATAATAATAAATTATAAATAAATAATAAATATACTGTAAATGTTACTTAATTTTTTTATTTAGTATGTTCATCAAATACCTAAGTATCAAAAAAAAAGTATACACACACATATACACTTTAACATTTTTAAACTAACTTATTTAATTAAGTTTTAGTTGAACCATTGTTTTTCCTACTTTTTTAGGTACTTTTTTACTCAGACTGTCTTCAAGTTCTCTATCTTGATAATAATGAGGAGCTACTTCACGCAGCCATTTACTTTCAATTTCTGTCACTTGTCTCATAAATTCTTTAGTTGTGAATACCAATTCATGGTATATAACCCATCTAGGAAGGTCTTCAAATAAGCTACTATTTGGATGTATAAGAACTGTTTGATTATGTTTAACAGTGCGATAATGTCCNAATAATAATGGTTCAATTATATTATGTTTTTTTTAATATACATTTTTTAAAAAATAATTAGTTTATACTTTTCGAATATTAACAGTTTCAGTTGGATTTGAAGTGAGTTCCATTTCAACACGCTGCATTAATCCAACTAGTTGATCTCTAACATCCCGAGCTCTGCGCATTGATCTATGTTGAATATAATTTTCATAACACCAGTTTGTATTAAAATCTGTATTGGCCCATTGATTATAAATATTTAATAATGCCAAATGATCACCACCACATAAATAAAAATTTTTACGAGCTGTGTCAGCTAAGATTAATTTATCTTTGGGTCTATAAAATATAGCACCATTTACACTTAACATTGCAGCTATAGTAGCCATTTCTTCTGAGCATTTATATCTAAAGCAAAATATAAAAATAAATTTACGATTAGTTGTTATTATTAATATTTTTTTAAAGTTTTAGTGAGAATAAAAGTAGAACTATTAAAGTGAAGTAGAACTATCAGGTTATTTTTGTAAACTGTAATATAATTTATACAAAATTACTATACACATTTAATGGTACATTCAATTCTACTGTTAAAGCTTAGAATATTGTTATGATTAGGACTCTTAACTTGTAACTTTAAAAAAGGTTTGTTATAAAAGGCATGATGATATGCTTTTAAAAACATTTATGTAAGCTATTAAATGTATTAAAATATTTAAATACTACAAGTTATGAGTCTGGTTACAATTAAAAACATTTACTTTTCAGAAGCTAATAACATTATGGCCATCATTGGATCTAGAGGAAATTCAGCCATACGGCGGCCTAATTTGGTTAATTCACCTCTGTGATTCAATGCTCCCAGTGCATAAAGTTGTTCCAATGCAATTACCTTTAAATGATTAGTTTGTTAAGTATACATTTTTTTTTTTAATAATTAAATATATTAACCAGTGTCTCATGTGGAGGAGGATCCAAGAAATCAAAATGTATTAAGTCGTTAATACCAAGTGCCTTTAACATCAGCACAGCATTACCCAAGTTAATTCTTTGTATTTCAGGAACTGTATTATCTTCTAGTTCACTTTTGTAAGCCCATGCTGTATACAGACGGAAACATTTACCAGCAGCAACTCGGCCAGCTCGTCCAGCTCTTTGATTAGCACTTGCCTAAATTAATGGTAATAAAAAAGAATAATAATAATTATTAAGCTAATGCATTTATTTCTAAACACTTTACTTTTGATATTGGAACCACTATTAAGGATTCCATGCCTGTGCGTGAATTAAAATTATTTTGTTTACAAAAACCTGGATCAATTACATAAATAATGTTGTCAATTGTTAAAGAAGTTTCAGCTATATTGGTAGCCAATACAACCTGTAAAGAATAATTATTAATCCATTAACTTATTTATAAAATTATTAATAATTATAATATACTTTTCTGGCATTTGGAGGCGTAGGTTCAAAAATTTTGGCTTGCATGTCTGTAGGTAAATTACTATACACAGGTAATATTATTAGTTCTTTTATTTGAGATCCAAGTCTACGAACACGTTCTTGTAGAAGTTCATTACAAGTTTCAATTTCTTCTTGACCTGTTAAGAAGACTAATATATCTCCCAGTGGTTGGGTTACATGTATTTGTAGTATTGATACAACACAGGCGTCTATGTAATCAGCTTCTGGTGCTTTTGTATAATATATATCCACAGGGAATCGTCTTCCTATGAAATACACAAAAAAAAATGTTTTAAAATAAATAAATCCATACAAAAATTGAGGTTTTAACAATATTTACCAGGTATTCTAAATATAGGAGCATCATCAAAGAATGTTGAAAATTTTTCAGCGTCTAAAGTAGCACTAGAGATTAATAATTTTAAATCAGGTCTAAATCGTATGACATCTTTTACTAAACCAAATAAAATATCTGTGTGCAGGGTACGTTCATGAGCTTCATCAACAATCATTACACTGTAAGATTTTAAATCAGGTTCTGATAAAAATTCTCTATGCAATGTTCCATCAGTCATATATTTAATAATGGTACGTTCTGATGTACAATCTTCAAACCGAATACTATAACCAACCTAAAATTTGTAATAAATGTTAAAAACCTATTTAAAATGTGAACAATCCATGATAAGAAACATGTATCACAGAATGCACTATTCTTTTACAGAATATATAAGCATATCAATAGCCAACACCCTAATCATCAGCCATTACATTTAATAACACAATATGAATGTATTTACATTCATGTAAACACAAATACAAACTTTTCTCTAAAAAATTTTAGCATACCTAAGAGCTTAGAAAATGGTACCAGTCACTCTGACCATACAAAAAAGCCATAAAACATTACTATACTTCAAATAAACTTTAACTAAAATTAAATGTGAAAATTTACAAAAACTGGCAAAAGATCAAAATTTAACTATTTTCTCACTTCAAGAAACTCACTTCTAGCTAATAATAATATAAATAGCTACAATATCATTGGCTTCATAAAATATTAATTTTAACTAAAGGCTGATGTATTAATGCAGTTTATTATCAAGGAAGCTGCATCTATAGTAAATATACTAGGGTATTTTATATTTAATTATTTTAATTTTTATTATTATCATAATTTATAAAGGAGCCGCTAATTTGGTTTTCAAAATCTGAAGAGCTGTGGATTCAAAAAGGTTGAAAAAACTGTATTAAAGTAATTTTTTTATGTAAGTTAACGTTTAAAAATAAAAAAAGTGGGTAGTGGTCTCACAACAAAAATAAGGGTGACAATTTGCACTCAATTTTTACATACTTATTAATTCATATAATTCATATTTTCAATTGAGACCTCAACTCTGTATATACTTATTATTTTGTTAATATAATTTAATTTTACTTCATTTCCAAGTTTAACAGACATCTCTTCAGCAACACGAGCTGCAACTGACATAGCGGCAACTCTTCTAGGTTGAGTACATCCAATTATTTTATTATCTTCAGTGAATCCACTTTCATGTAAATACTGTGGTATTTGAGTGGTCTTACCCGAGCCAGTTTCACCTTCAATAATAAGTATCTAAGAAAGGGCAAAACAATAGTTGTTTATTTTAGTTACATATTTATATCCTGAAGTATTAGTAAAAAATAAATAATTACTTGATGATCTTTGATAGCTTGTATTAAGTCTTTTTTAAATTTATATATAGGTAAACTTTTTTTTGTTTCTTCAATGTTTAATTTTTTACGCTGTTTTTCAGTAATTTCTGGTTTTTCCTATTATTCAGTAAAAAAAAAAAAAAAATGTATTAAAGAAACATTGTTTTATTTAATATTAATATCAAAAAAATACATCGCGTGTGCCAGGCAAATTATCAGTTTGAATAAATTCTATTTGATTATCGATCAATAATTCATATTGTTCTTTTTCTTGTCGCTTAGCTCCAAATTTATAAACTGCAGAAGACATTTGTTCTTCTTCCCATTTTTGTTGTTCAGTAGTGGGTGCTTTTTCCACTTCCATCTCATATTGCATTTGATCATCTTTAATATCTTGAGGCATACGATACCGGTGTACATTTTCCAGCTCTCTAGCTTTTTCATGTTCTTTTGCAAGGTTTAATAACTTCTTTTTGTGTTCACGTTCTAAAAGTTCACGTTGCGTTAAACTAAAAAAAAAAAACCAAATATGTAAGTTATCAAACATATTTAACATACCTAATACATTCCAAAAACTTACTCTTCGGCATCAAATAAGTATTCATCATCTAAAATATCAGCTTCAAGTTCTGTAACTTTATCTGCTTTCCTTTTTTCAAGATATTTTCGACGAGACTCAATACGGAGGCGAGGGATGACAGTTTCCTTTTCACGTTTATTTTCTAATTTTAATCTTTTTGCTGCCTCTTCATAAGCCTTTTTATCTAAACAAATAATCAAAATACACATTGTATTATACACTAAGCAGTCATAAATACATACAATACAGCATTGATAAAACAGTATTCTATCAATAATATTAGCAAAACATTAAATCTCAATTGATTAATCCATAATAGTATTACCAAAGTTATTAATATTGCAGAAAAGTTTCTATTTTTTTTTTTTTATATTATAAGGTTGAATGTTTATGCACTAAAAAATGAATAAATATGACGCATAATAATTAAATTAAAAATGATGAGGTAGTACTATAAAGGTACTGCACGACATAGTTAAAGTTCTTCTTAATGTGTTGTGAAATGGTAGTAACTACTATGAATACCTAATAGTACAGTTTTTCACACAAAACAGTTTTACTATCTCATCACAGGAAGTATAAAATCTTCAGTCACCTTTAGTTAAAAAATTGAATGTCAGTTAAATTATACAAATAATATATAAATAAGTAAAACTATTAATATAAATATATTACTATACTATTAATATATATTTATATATTTATGCATATACAATAGCTATTTTTTAGTGCATCCTAAACCTATTGATAAATAATAATAATCGTTTAACAAATAAAAAGATAATTCCAAACATACCAGATCGAGGAATAGCAATTTTACGTGTTCTGTCTTTGTCTTTTTTTTTAAGCCTTTCCGCAAATTCATCACGTTCCTTGCGATCTTCATCACTGTCACTTAAAACCATAATGATATATAAATACCGAAAAATAATTTATATTTTGATACAGTTTCAATTTCATATACGACTAATAATAATAATAATAATTTAAATTAGTAAACTTGAATAAACTCAAATGTACACTAGCATTCGTTTATCGGTTATTATAAATTGATAACGTTAAATGTTATAACAATTGTGATTTTAGCTACGTAAAACATATTATCAGGACAAATAAAATGATAATGATAAATAATATCTATTCGATAACGTAATTTCTATACCCAAGTTTAAATGTAAAATGTATTAATGTATGTATGTTTCGAAATATTATGATTTTATCAATTTTTGTAATTGAATATTTTATTATGGAATTAATAATGTAATTTTTACATTTTTCATTTTGTAATATGTACCTATTATGAAAACTGGAATAAAGTCATTACTTCCAAGTACCTTAATATGTTTTAAGAAATAAATGTTGTATAACCTATTAGATATATTCTATATAACCGCGATTTTATCAAAATCGCTCCAGGAGAAATTTCGTATTTTAAAACTAACAACATTTAGACAATTTGGAAGAACTGTCCTACGTCCGAAAATGAAAATTTTACGGGAGGTATTACTTCCACGAAAGTCTACTACTACGAACATCTACTACTCCGTCGTAGTAATTGTATGCTAGTATGTCACCACCGTCACATTGCTACGAATGTAAATAACACTGGTGTGCTTAGCAACGGGAGTGCGTAAAAAACCGAAAAGAAAACAGCCGAACAGTATTTAAGCCAAAAAATATTTGAGTCAATAGTATTTTATCCGAAAATATTACAACCATAGCTAATAAATGTATTATCTATGATTACAGCCGACCGCAATAAAGAGATAAGGTCAGATCCATGAACATATTATACACTGTTAGGTTATAACAGTATATATGTAAATATTTGGTGAAATTTTCTAATCAACGATAACGCGTGATAAGAAATAAATAAAAAAGGAAACTTTTAACTTATTGACATGACACTCATTAAGGAAACAAATCTGAAATATTTGTAAAAATTTAAAAAAGTAAAAAAAAAAACCTAATAATACATTGTTCAGTATTATTTATTTGCTGGATTTCCTTCGTTCTTAATAAATAATAGTATCGTTATTTAAAATTACCTATTCCTGAAAAATTAAGTTATTTTTACATTCTTATTCAAATAAACATAATATAGGTAATTTTTATGTAAGCCAATGAAACATAAAAAAATAAAACATATCTTTTGCAAAATATGAAATTATTAATTTTAATTCGTTTAGTAGGTACTCTGTGTTTATTTTATTTTGTAATGGAATAGAACAAACCTACATATGATAATATTTTAGATTCATAGTGGAGCAAAGCAGTGGCATACTCACCTTTTTTTCTCTGTGGGAGAGGGGATGAACTGTATTTTGTTTTGTTGATAGTCATGTACACAAATTTACAAAATGTACTTAATGATATATACATTGACATTTCAGGAGTAGGTAGTTATAGTAGTAGGTACAAATTACAATGTTAGTACATTATAATATATATATCTGTTTTTTATACTAATATTTTAAAACTATTTTTTCATTTTTTTCATTTAAAGGAAACATAAATGTTGTATGAAAACCATTATCCATACATTTTTAATTGCTTAAACAGTAAAAGACAAAAGTTATGTACACTAGGTAGTAAGAACTGTTTTTTTTTTAATCTGAAATAAAGTCTAAACTTACAGTAAATTTATCAGCATTTGATAACCTACAGTTCGTAAATAAGCTTAGATAGTTTACATGCATACTTTTAGTTTTAAAAAAAACTGTCCTAGGATAATGAGGTTAGGTGCAGCCACTGTTATAAGTAATTTAATGTATACCTATAAGAAACGATAAACCATTGTTAACAAAAAAATGATTTTGGGTGGAATTTAGTTAATAGTGATGCATTGCCAATAATATATATGTCATATTATAGTAAAATAATTAAATAGGCTTTATATATTCTCTTTAAATAATATTTGTTTAATGTTGTACGATTTTCCCAGTTTTTTTACGTTTTTCACATTTGCTGGGAAAACTCTTGAGAAAATCGAAAAATGACCTCTCTAAAGTACCTTTCCAGTTAGATTCCTTTTTTAGAAAACGTGCTACCATTATAATCGGAGCAAAGTAAATTGTAGAAAAGTAGTTCACAGGAAATAAAATGCCAAAATATTTTTCAATTAATAACTGCATCTCGTACATTTTGTCGTTTTTCTTCCATTTTTTTCCATTCGTTGATAAAAATCCTGAGGAAATCAAAAAATGATCTACTTAAAGTACCTTCCCAGTGAGATTACCTTTCAAAAAAAGTGCTTTAGTTGTAAATTGGAGCAACATTTTTGGAAGAAAAGTGGTCGGTCCACAGAAAAAAAATTAATATTTTTTGTAAAATTATAAGCTTCTTCGCTTCACTCAGAATTAAAAATATGAAATTATTAAAAATATTTAAGCAATTAGACATGTGTATTAGTATACAATTTTTATTATAGCATAACTATAAATACTCTTGATATAATATAATAATATATTAATATGCCGATAATCGCGTTTATAACATAGATAGGTATCGGAATAAAATAGACTGAAATATTCTGATAATCTATTGGTACCTATTTTTTTTTTATTATATTTATGCATTATCTATAGATAATTACTATTACTGCAGTATCTACTAAATATATTGTATATGTATGATAATAATTAACTTGACTAAAAATTAAAACCAACTATGTACTACTTTTTTTTTTTCAAGAAAACAGAAACTACTAAAGAACTTCAAACAAATGCATAAAAAAAAAGTTTACGGGGGAGATATGACACCCTTATCCCCCTCTGGAAGCACGCCCCTGAAGCGAAAAAGTTTATGATTGTGCAAAGATGGTTTATTTTTTTATCAGTGTGTCAAATTCTACCAGAAATTTTGGACCGATTTTTTAGTGTAGCAAGTAAAAGGAAATCGGACTAGGGAGGTCATTTTTCGATTTTCTCATTATATATATATAAAAAAAACCGAGAAAATGTACGAAATACATTATTAAAATATTACGATTTTTTTTCTGTGAACAACTTTTCTACCAGTAGTAAAGTTCTTCAACTTTCATTTATTGTGAGCAATTTTACTCCGATTTCAATGATAGCACTTTTTCTGAAAGCAAATCTGACAGGGGAGGCACGTTACATTTTTCGATATTGTTGACAAAGCAACACTATCAACTGAATTCCGTTCAAAATCATGTTTTCGTTAGCAGTGGTTTATCGTTACTTACAGATACAAATTAATTTCCCCTCTATATTTCAAATTCTCAACTTCTCGCCAACAACATCATGCATGAGCTGCAGCCATCGTGCAAAGTATGTTCGTCATTTGTTTTCTTATTCTTATATTTCGAACATTTTCCAACATTTTATTCCAGTTTTTCGCAGCTATTATGAAAATTTACTACATTTGATACAATAGTCTGAGCGAGCGATGGTTTGGGTCACTATGTAAAAAGGGATAAAAGGGGGAGGGGGAAATGCAAAATATTCGTTTCAAAACTCAGGTTTGAACTCGCAATCCCTAGAATGTTAATATGAATGGAGTACCATTAGACTACGATAAACATATTTAAATTTGACAATAAATATTTATTTAACATAGGTAATATAATATAATATCAGAACTTCAAAAATTTCAAAATTCTGAAACTATGTCAGCTTGTTTGATTCTTACTTCATTGTCGTTTTTAAACCGACAATATACATATGCTTAAAATGAAAAATTGAAAAATTAGATTTGTTCCATATAATTTTTTACTCGAAAGATTTTCGTCAATATTTGATATGAAAATTCCTTTATAAAAAAATATATCTGTAAGCAACGAATAATCTTTGCTTACGAAAAACGTTTCTGAGCAGAGTGCAGAGTTAAACATGTTTAAAAGGTCGTAATATTTACGATTTTTGTCAGAATTTGATATTAAATTTTTTATAAAAAAAAAAAAAATAATAATAATAATAATAATATATGATATTAAACTCAAATTTACAAGTATATGTATTTATAACAAAGTAAGACTTTTAATGAATCTCTTCATAAATATTCACGAATTTCTGTTTAGTCTAATATTTTTAACACAGAGTACCTAACGAATAAAAATTTCGTATAAAATTCGCAAAATTAAAATGTCAATAAATAGCTCAAAAATGGCTTAAAGGTGTTGAAAATTTTACCATGTCTAGAAAAAGTAAAAAAAAAAATGACCTTCTTAAATTACCATGGAGATAAATTTTCTTTTAGAAAATAAGCTATGCTTGATACATCGAAGCAAGATTTCTGGTAGAAAACTTTTCACAACAAATCGAGGGGAATTAGAATATTTTCGATTAAAATAGACCGAGCGAGCTATCTTGGGTCTCTAGGTACACCCAAAATGCATTTGATTTATCCTTGTTTAGATAGAAGGGGGAAAAAATTTGTTTTCAAAACCCGGATTTAAACTCATGATCCCTAAGATGACAATAAGTGTAAAACCATTAGACTACGAAAAACATTCATTAAAAAGGTAAATAATGTTATTTAACATAACATATAATATCCGCATAATATCAGAACTTCAAAAAACCTTTTTTTTGACTACAATGTTAGACTTTTAATGAACCTCCTGTTAAATTTTCACATATTTCCGTTTAGTTTAACAATTTTACCACACTGTGCCAACTGAATAAAAATTTCGTACAAAACTCACTAAATTAAAATGTCTATAAATAGTTTAAAAAATGGTTTAAATTTTTTGAAAGTTTTACCTCGTCGATACCTTTTAAAAAAGGTAAATATAAGTTTTTTTATTCAAATTTAAAGTCTATCAAACGATACGAATATTTTAAACTGAATTTCAATAAAAACATTAACATTTTTATGAAAGCCTAAAAATTGATTAAATGTATTGAAAATTTTACAACATCTAGAAAAGGCAAATTTTAGTTTATGGAACTAAATGAAATAATTTTATGATTTCTGCCTAAATTTCAAGTCTCAAAGAATATTTTTAACTGACTTACAATAAATAATAAAATTGAAATAATAATAAATGCATTATTTTCGTAAATTTAGATACGTGATCAAGGCTTGAAAACGTTTATAAAACGTTATACTTGTAAAAAAACGATTGAAATAGATAACAGAAAACAGAACAGTAAACGTTGAACAGTAATATTAAATTATCCTTAAACAAAACGATGAACCAATAAATTAAAAAATCATAATACGAAACATAACAGAAAACGAAAAAATCTTAATACAATAAACGATAATTAAACGTTTACGTTTATAATATTAATATTTAATAATATAATATTATAATGAACATTGACATTTATAGACGGTTTTCAATATATTGAATTCCATGAATAGCTAATAGCAATAATAGTATTCCATTGTTTTATGTTTTTTTTTAAATTTGTGTTCGGTTATATTGTGGGTATGTATTTTGTAATATGTTTATGTATACTCTGAAATCAGTGAAATCCTTATCGAAAGTCAGCAATTGAACAAAATAATGGACAATAAAATGTTAAAAATAACAGAAATTACTAATTCACATTTCAAGAACCAACCTGAATACAGTTGGAATCATAGCTATAAAAGTATAAACTAAGCTAAGATTATGAGTAAAATACCCCATGGCCCATACTATTCAGAACAACATTATCATTATATATTTATATCTATTATCTACAATATACATCAGGGGTCACCAATTAATATTTTTGAAGGGCCACATTAAGGATCTGATAATTTTCGCGGCCCATCAAGATTCTAAGTACATATTTTTAACATATAATAGAACTGATAGAGCCAGAAATGATTTACAATCGAAGGACCAGACCGGTTCGAAAGAACCGATCACCTTCACCTTTTCGCTTGGTGGGAAGGCAACTTATCAATCATGCGCCGTACTGTCAAGGAGTAGGCATCCCAATACAGTCAGATACTTCTCGTACCCACTGGGCGGCCAAGGCATAAGAGTTTGATACTGGCAGCAACCAATAATATTTAAGAAAAATAATTTACATTTTACAACAATAACACTATGTTGCCGTAAAATGGTTTATTTATTCTTTGTCTGCGGGCCGGATGAAATTTGTTCGTGGGCCGTGCACAGCCCGTGGCCCGTGGCCCACAGCCCGTGGTATTTGGTGACCCATGATATACATTGATTCTGACGGTATGCCGTGTGCGTAATTTTAAAGTTTAAAATTACTTCATAATAGTTTATATTCGTCTGTTGTCACGAGCGTTAGACGTTAGTTTGAGTGTTTTGAGTTTTATACGTGGGTAATTAATTTAGCAATGGCAAGAACAAAATCAAACCCAGTTTGTAGTATGTTTTTTAAATATAATATACGTACAAATGAAAGTACCTGTCAAATTCCAAATTTAATTACTAAATTGTAACTGTCTAATGTCTCAATTATATGTATCAATTTAATCATAGTTATACAATTAAAGTTTTGTGTAATTTTTCTTATTCCCTGTTAAATATAAAAATAACTTTTAAATTTTTAATGGCAAAGTGNTTTATAGTGTTATAACTTATAATATAAAATTGCCATATGGGTATTTCTCTGTATAAATTAACAATTAATTAATTATTTTGCATAATTATGTTTGTCTTACTTTTCTAGTTAATATTGCGCTACATCCCACATGTATTGTTTAATGTTTCTGAAAACCTACGTAGATAATAAATTTACAGGTAGTAGGTACTTACATAAAAATTTTAATTTAGTTTATTTTAGGGGATCAAAGGATCTAACAGCTATAACGTGTAGAATTTTATAAATATTTTAGATTTTATATTTAACAGTTTATTTCCAATCTAATATTATAAATCGACAATATACCTAATATTTAATATACCCTTATATTTAAAATTATAATATTATTTTAATTGTAAAAATGTTATATATTATAGGTAGCCAGGTAGGTACTACATTATGTGTTAATTTTCAATGGTATTAAATGTAAAAATGATTAACGTTTTAATTCTAAATAACGTAAAACGATTTTTTTTTAAATTCGAGTCCTGTACGTGATACTTATTATGAAAATCGCTTGAAAAATCAAAAATATGACCACCGAAAAGTACCATCTGGACAATATTTCCTTTCAAAAATGATTCCACGCGTACATATCGGAGCCAGATTTCTGGTAGCATTTTTATACAAGGTTTACAAAAAATGAACATCTTTGTAAAACCAATACATTCTTCGCTACCCTCAGAACATAAAATTTATAAAGTAAATGAATATACAAATTTTAATATTAAGAATGTTAAATAATGTTCAATGTAGAAATAAATAAATAAAATAGCTACATAGTTTTAAGAATAAAGAATTGCTTAGTGCCTAGTGGTAAACGTATACGTTCGAGAAAAGACTGAATAGTAGTAGGTAATATAATCGCATCGGTATTGGCAATACGTTAATTCAAGTCAATCATAATGTCTTTATTGAGCAAGAGTTCAAAGTTAACTTACATTACTTGCAATCAATGTTTTAAATTATTTTTCGAAAATGTTTATTTTTATACACAAATTATTTAATACTTTACTTAATGCCTAAAAATACTGGGACAATAGATTTAAAATATTTATTACTAAAAATAATTTGACGTTGATTGGACTGAAAACAATAATTCCATTAAAAATATAACAAAAAGTATTAAACAAAATCAAATCCATGGAGGCAATTCAATATCCATTATAATTAATTCAAAATCCATTAAAATTAATTCAACACAAACAAAACTTGTATTTTTATTTTTAGGGAAAAAAAGTCAACCTAAAATAAATTATAAGTAGTTAATATCTAGATTAAAATCAATAAGAAATTTTAATTATTTTTATTTAGGTAAATTAAATTAGATTTGTTGAAAACCAATACTCTAGAATTTGAATAAGTTTCATATAGTTTTCAAAGTATGTATAATTGTATAATCCAAAGTATAAATAATAATTTAGTGGACTACTATAATGTTTACTAAATAATATTTTCACTTTTTAAGATTTCCTATAGAACCTTTATAGGAATTAGAGAATTAAAATATTGTATCGATGCAATGATTTTTGGAGTCACTAATTTAAAAAGAAAATAAAGAACATATTTAAATTTTTTTTTTACAAGATACTGGTCATTAGAAATATAATTATTCTTTTCAAGAATAAGGAATATATCCTGATTAGTAAATTTCCCCTAGTTGTGATACTTTTGATTTTCTGGGTAGCTCACTATTTACGTATATATATTCATAATTTGAAATATTATGTTTGAATGTTTATTCAGATTAACATAAACTATGACTATTAAAAGTTGCAGGACAATAAATCTGGATGAATATGAAATTTTTTATTATTGGGGACCAATTGGTTTGAATAATTTTTAAAAAATTAAAAAATAATAATTTTGTTTTTAATTGTTATAAGTGTTAACATTTTACTATACTAATTAGAATTATTACTTGGCTTTTTGAGTGCTTATAACTTAGTTTTATTTTTAAAATGTATTTCTGATGTTATTCTTGATGTTATTAAGAGATTAGTATGTAGACCTATATACTCTTTTTTATTATAATTCTAAAGAAATAAAGTGATTAATAATATTAATATAATATTAGATTTAATTACATGATTAGGCTAACATACTTCTTTAATTGTATATAACAAAATATAATGTTGAATACCACTTTATATGGCATACATGTTAAAATGGGTACTGTATTTCATTTTTCATACAAAAAAGTACTTATTAAACATTTGGCATAGGTTAAAAAAGAATATATTATGTTTATGTGTAGTTTATAGATTAGAATGCCAATGTCATTAATAATCCTACATAATATATTTCTAATATTTGCTGAATTTTTTTTAATTTACAAAGTGTTAAATGGAAGTCATTAATTTCATTAGGTAAATTGTTCAATTTATTTGAAATTCTGTTTAAATTGATTGTTGTAGTCTGTTTATGCATAAAGGGTATGTAAGATATGTTTATGTCTAGTGTTCCTCATAGACACACACAATTTAAATTATTTCTAGATTAATAATTTAATACATATTAGTTTTAAAATGTTAAGAAAACAATAATTTACAAAATTTATCTTTTACTTCTGTTATTGTAATGTTTACACTAAATACTGAGTTCTATAATATAAATATATTGTAGAATGGAGTGTATTTATTTAATTTATTTATTTATTGACTTTACAAAAAAGGCTTAAGTACCCAAATATTGGATTTATATCCAATCTTTTTACAGATGATAAGTTTAATTAAGTATATGTCTTTTTACAAATCCTGAAATTTGTTTAGCTTTAAAACATTCAAAACATTGTAACCTGTAAGTAACATAATGTATTGCAAGGGTCAGATGTATTGCTTTGAGTGCTTTAAACTAAAGCATAATATCCAGATTAACTTCAAGATGTATTATTGAATGTTTTTCAAAAATATTCATGTCCCCATTTCATTTATTGATATTAATTGGTATAAATGGTAGAATATACATTTTACAATTGCTATTTGGTAAATTTCTCACACAATTTCTCACGTTTTTTCATATTTTCTGGGAAAATCGAAAAATGAATTACCTAAAGTTCCTCTCTTGTCAGATTTGCTTTTAAAATAAGTGTTATTATTGTAAATTGGAGCAAAATTGCTGGAAGAAAAATCGTTCATTTGTTAATAAAAGTCCTGAGGAAATTAAAAATAACCCCATTAAAGTACCATTTCAGTTAGATTTCCTCTTAGAAAAAGTGATATCATTTTAAATAAAAAAAGCAAAAAAGCAAAAAAAGTCGTAATCTTATTAATATATTTCATACATATTCCCGTTTTTTTTTGGTTTTTCAAATTTGATGAGAAAATAGAAAAATGACCTCCTTAAAGTACTTCCTCAGTTGGATTTCATTTCCTTATTACACTTAAAAATTGGCTCAAGATTTGGGTAGAAATGTTATTCACAGATAAAAAAAACAAAAAAACAAAAAATATATATATAAACATTTTTGTAAAACCATAAACTTCTTCCTCCACTCAGAATTTAAAGTATTATTTTAATTATTTTTGTTCTATTCCATTTTAAAATAAAATAAAAAAGAATACCTACTAAGCTAATTAAAATTATTAATTTCATAATTTACAATAGGTATGTTTTATTTTTTTATGTTACATTAGCTTATATAAAAATTACCTGTATTGTGTTTATTTGAATAAGATTGTACAAATAACTTAATTTTATAGGAATAGGTAATTTTAAATAATGATACTGTTATTTATTAGGATTGAAGGAAACCAGCAATTTAGTGGATTATATAAAAAAATTGAAATATTAAATTATATTTCTTAATCTTTTATTACCTGAATTACTTAAGTGGATTTTTATTATTTTAATAAAAGTTAGACAATTAAAAAGTATTATGATAGATATAGAATATAGATGTTGGACATAAAATGATATTGAAACCTTCTCAAATTGTTTTTATACTAGTAACAACTAGATATTCAATAAATTTACTTAGACGCTAAAGGATTTTATTTTCTCTTAGCTTCCTAATTTACTCAGGGTTGTCTTAAAAATCTGTTTGTTGTATTTAAAACAGTAAATAAAGTTGCATTTATGCATTCCAATATAAAAAATACAAACAACATTATTATGATAAAAGTCCCTGAACACAAAATACTTTTGAAATATGCACTTATTTATATAGGTAATCAAAAATACAGTAGTTCATTTGGTTAATTAAATAATGGTAGCCAAATATATTATCAGTAATTATTGCCATACTTTCTGTATCACTGTCCGAAGCGAATTATGGTAGATGAGGACCAGTTTTATATTCTCTAGTATTTATATATTATTTATTATGACGTATATTTATAAGTTGTGTTGGAATCTGTGACGCGTTCGCTGCCGGAGCAGTTTGGCCACCCTGACTGACGGTATGTGCGCGAACAAAATAATAAAAAAGAAAAAAGAAAAAGAAAGATACTGTATTATAGTGCAATTAATTGTAAATAAAACCATATAAACTATATTATGTAATTTTATATTGTTTTAATTGTGAATTGCCATTTACCGATATCTTGAAAACATGATAGCCATTATTTTTCGAAGCCTTCAAATGATGTATTTTTGATATTCCTAGTAGTAGGTATCATATTTGACGAATAAAAAAAAAAAAATGCATATTTGTAGTTTATTGTAGTTTAGTGATTAGTGTCATAAATCATAATACTGAGTTATATTAAAACATAAAATTCAACAATAATTTTGTTTCTTGTTATTATGGTCACACTGCAAATGACAAATATTTTCGCCTTAATTACAAAATCAATCATCTTCTTTATTTCTGATCATATTATTATAACCACCACGCCCATCAGCGTCTTTTTTAGATTATTTATTTCTACGTTCTAACTACTTTGTTTCAAGTGTTAACTATTCTTTCTTTAAACTAAAAACATTACACATATACCAATGATTTCATCAATGTATCGCTGAAAGTATGAAACGTCAAGATTAATGTGATTACATTCTGTGGGTCAACGTATTGAACATTTTTTAGTTTACTAAAAATACTTTACTGAATTCATTTCAACGATGAACATACCAAGTGAAAGATCAACGATTTACCTCAATACGTAACTATTATAACCATTTCTCGCTTTTTTAATTTTTAATTTTTTATAAATATATTATTATTAATTTAATAGTTATATTATTTTATTAATTGTATGAATTTAGGTATCATTTGTTATTTGTATACTATTGTTGGAACTTGGAATACTAGTAAATATTAGGTATTAAATAATTGTAGGTCGCAAAAATCGGTCGTCCAAATAGATAATAAAATAATGTATCATTACGGCTTATTAGTGAAGACTTAATAATTAAATTGAGGCTGTAATTTCGTATAGGTAAATTACTTTGTTTTAGTGGGTAGCATATAGAATAGTGTAAACAAACAGCCTTAATTTCCTATCACGTTGGACCGAAAAACTGTAATGGCCTTAATATGTAATGTCCTATTCATTACTTTATTATTTATAGCCGCTCAAGACTGAAAGTTTCGAGCTATGATTTCGAGGAATGAGCAGAATCTGAACGACGGTATCTGAGATTCAGGCTGAAATGTCCAATTGTATTTATATATATATATATATATAGCGATTTATTAAATTATACTTAATTAACGAATTATTGAGGGGTGTAAGGGGATCCTGCTTACCTCTTTTTTCCATGCCATATATTATATGTATACATCTATAATAAACGATGTCAGTAGTGGGATAGCAACGTTAACCCAGATCCGTCACTGCAGCTTGTATACCGGGAGGAGGAGGAGGAGGGGAGTATTAAATTATTATTACTAGTAGATATAACCTAGAAAACAAAAAATAAATATTTTTTTTAATCATATTTTGTTTAATTAATTTCTACATTTATTGATTAAAGGTAAAAATATCCGAGGAACAAATGTCCGGAAGCAAAAATATCCGACTTGTACAGTGTAAATTGTGGGTAAAACTAGATAACTAACAACGAAACTGAAGGATATAATCATAGGTTTTCCAAATTATTTCCACATTATCACCCAGCTATTGATTGAAAAATGCGGTTGGATTTAGGGGTCGACTAGTGCAAAATAAGCCAAAGGGGAAATTATATAGGTGTTATATTTTTCACATTTTTGTTTTTAGACATTTCAGACATTTAAACCTCCAAAAATTTTTCCCCAGATATTTTGGTAGACCCTCACATTTATTACAGCTGTTGTTTAGTAACTGTAGACCACCTATAATTTTATTATTATATATTTTTATCAATTTTGGTATTTAATTATTTTCTAAAAAAAAAGTTACTACATGTTAGTAACATACAGTTAGTTTATTAAAAAGTACTGTATTATTTTGAATTTATTTGTTTATTTGTGATTTTTAGAAGTCTAGTTCAAAATATTGGGACTGCATTAACATCTAAGATTGTTGTTTTGAAACGTAAAAAAGAATTTTACTGGAGTGAATTGGCATTGTATGTATTAAAGCTTCTTTCTTAAATTACTGTTATAATTAAATTTTAAACTCCAATTAAATAATTATGTAATTACATAATTCCAAATTATTTAAAATTTTTTCTTACAGTAATACTACTGATGTAACACTTGTAGTGAATAATCAGGAAATAAGTGCCAATAAATATGTATTGGCTTCAAATAGTGAATATTTTAACAGGATGTTTACTAGTAGTTTTAAGGAAACGAAAAATGATAAAGTTGACATTATAGATTTGGGTGACTACGAAACTTTAAGTACGCTTATTGATTTTTTTTATACTTCATCATTAACTATTACAGAACTCAATGTACAGGTTAGTATTATTTTGTAATTTAAAACTATAATGTATACCTATACATAGTTTAAATTTAACTATTTTAATGTTTATGAGCATAATCTGATTCTTATTTTAGGAGCTATTAATAAGTGCAAATGAATTGTTATTGGATGATGTCCAAGATGCTTGTGTAGATTTATTAAAAAGCGTGATCGATATTGAAAATTGCTTCAACATGAAAAATTTGGCTAGTTCACTAGGTTTGGATTATCTCTATGCAGTATGCTTGAAGTTTATGTTTAATAATTTCAGGTAATGGTTATATTTGAATTAGTGAATACAATTATATAAAAAAATATTATCATCATTTACAATATTGACAAGTGTCTGTTTAAATCCTTTATAATCTAATACTACAGTTTTGGTAGCATCTGTTCTACATGATCAATGAGTATCGTCCAACATTTTAGGAACGTGGGATTTTGACGTCGAATATTTCAATTATAACCGCTATAGGAATTTATACCTCGACAAGAATATATAAAAAAAATATATATATATATATATATACTTAGAACAAAATCAACAAATTGTATATTAGTAGGACATGAATTTGGTGCTGTCTTACCAATTAAATTTAAAGAATGTCTACAGCATGGCACAAAAAGTGCAAAACCATTAATTCGTTTCAAGAAAACCTGCATCCAATATATTTCCCACTCATGTTCACAAAGTTATTGTAGGACTCTTTTCAATAGTCACAGTTTGTTATATCAATTTCATAGTCATCTAAGAATCGGATTAGGGTTTTAGCTATAGCACACTCTGTGTGTCCGCAATTGGGTAAAAATGTTAAAAATCTTTTTATAGGAACAAGCATTCCATGTAATGAAATTTATCGTTAATTTATCTATATGTTCTTCGTTGGGAGTGGAATCATGAGAAACTGAATAATAAATCAATATTTTTATTCTAGTAATTATTTTATTGAACAATCTCTTAGCCATTTGACTGATTAGTTCTTTGCAGATTGTCAACGAAAGATGATTTGTGTGACCACTGTCTTTATATGCATCTTTCCTGATATGTACTTTCAAAATAAATCATATTCTGCAATTAACTCAAGAAACACAAAGTAGTTTTCATGTAGTTTCCATAGGCTTTGGCAAAGAAGAATGATTTCTTTTGCCTTTTGTTTCCGATCAGCAGCTAATTTTTTTTTTGTGCTTCACTTTCATACACTCAAGGTGTTTTGTATCGATCACCAATATAAAAGTTATACAGACAAAAGTTGTAGTACTAAAATATTCGAAATATTTAAAAAAAAAATAGCTGATACTGGGGACGGGTGTATCACTGTTGCAAGTGGGTAGTTCGGAAGGTAAAATACTTAAAGTTAATTATTTTATACGATTTGGAGCGAAGTTCTGTTGTACATGTTTTGAAAGGCCGTAATAAGATACCAAAAACATTAAAAATGCAGTGATTTTTACGATTTTCATACAAATTTGAACTTCAAACGCTTATAAAGAAAAAAATTGTTTATATACTCATATATATATATATATATAATTTTATTTTTATCTTAAAGAACGTATTATGGTTAACATCACGCCAAATTTTAATACATTTTTGAGCAACCAAGCGATTTTTATTCAAATTGTATGAAAAATAGTACACCAAATGCCGTAATAAAAAACTATAAAAGAGTAAATGTCTATAAATAGCTCAAAATTCGCTGGCCATTTTAAATTTTTTACATGTAGAAATGGTAATTAAGGTTTGATTTAAATTTGGCCAGGCACGATGGCAACACATTATTCAAGTTTGCTATAGAATATTAATGGTACTTTTCACTGAAATAATAAACAATTGTAATTTAAAACTAACATTAATTTATGCATAGCATGGAATATTTTATCTTCAATGTCTAATGTATATATATATATATATATATTTTTATTTAATTAATATAAAAGCTAATGAAATTATGATGTAAGCATTTATAGTTTTAACCTTACAAATAATTAAATCTGTGTTTTTAATTGATAAATAACAAATGAAATTTATAAGTTATAAGTTATAATATTAAGAAGTTATTCATTCGTGTAAATTGAATATCATAATTTATATTGCTTAGAGGTAGCTATAGTAATTACCATCAATAAAACTGTAAGCTCTCCCAATTGATTTGATTTATTTAAATTTAATTTGTAAATATATTTACTTAAGTAATACGATACACATGTTAATTTCATTAATTATTTTTAGGCTGGTAGCTAATAATCAAGAGTTTTTGACAATCACTTATAATGAAATCATTTTCTTTATTAAGGATGATGATTTATTCGCAAACGAAGAAATGGTATAGTTTTTCTAATTAATCAATACATACATAATCATTTTGAATTTTTTTTCTTCAAAGATCTTACATTAAAAATAAACCTTATAAATAAATAAACTTCAAATTTACGTTTTAAATAAATATAGAGGTTGCACAATTGTCTGGTTTCATAAAGTTTATAAATAATTCAATTATTATTTATTTATACAGTAACACAATTTATTTCAAATTAAAGTAATAAATAGTTAAATATGAAGAAATTATTTTAATGAACCTGTTTTGTATATTAGGTATATGATGTAGTTATGAAATGGATAAGGCATAACCCACTTATCAGATTTAAATATTCTTCAGAACTATTATGGTATGTTCGTTTGCCACTGATTTTAAATACTTATCAAGGAATCATCAATATTCATGAGTTAGCATGTGCTAAAATAAATAGTCTCAGTTCTTTTAGAAAGGAACATCGAAAACCATTTAGAAAGGTTTGTATTTTGTAGTATTTAAATAGTTATTAATTATAATAATTATTGAAATATTTAAAATATCGATCATTGGTGCACTAGTGTATGACATAGTACAAGCAAGTATTATATTTTAATAATAATACCTAAAAAAAGTTATTGTAGTTTATAATTTGAATAAGCTTTTTTTTTTAAAAAATTAATATATTCTTCAAAATGTAAATGTTTAATACATATTTCTAGTTTTTGAACTTTGGAAGTAATGGAATACTATTCTAGAATACATTAAATAAAATTTAATGCAGAGTATTATTTGAGTTTATGGAAACCAACCATCGTTCCTTAGTTCTCAATTGATCTGTGATTTTATAAACTCTATCAAAAAATTATCGTCAGTAAATATAGCTAAAAATAAAATACTTTTAGATTCTGAGTGGAGCGAAGATGTTTATGGTTTTATAAAGATATTTATTTTTTTTCTATGCCCAACTTTTCTACTAGAAACCTTGCTCCGATTTTTAAATTTAGCAAATTTTCTAAAAGAAAATCCGACTGGAGAAGTAGGTTAAAAGAAATCATTTTTTGAATTTTTCTAGAGTTTATTCAAAAAATGTGAAAACCAAAATAAAACTGAAGAAAACGGGTAAACATAAGAAATGTTGGTATTAGTTAAAATATATTACGACTTTCTTTTTTTTTGTGGACAACTTTTCTACAAGCAATTTGGTTCGGATTTATAATGATAGAAATTTTTCTGAAGGACAATTTGACTAGAAAGGTACTTCAAAAGAAATCCTACTGGGGAAGAAGTTTAAAGAGATAATTTTTCGATTTTCCCAAGAGTTTTTCTAGCAAATGTGAAAAGCCAGGATAAAACATGGGAAAAACGGTATAACATTAAACATATATAATTAAAGAAAAAAAATAAAGCCTATTTAATTATTTTACTATAAAATGACATAAATATTGTTAACAAAGCATTACTACCAACAGAAATCCGCTTAAAATTGTTTTTTCGTAAACAATGGTTACAATGCTTACAGGTATACATAAAATTATCTATGATAGTGGCCCCCACCCGTCCTCATTATCCTAGGACGTCTTTTTAATTTGTATAAATATTTAAAACTTAAAAAGTATATAAGATTAAAAAAGATTTCATTAACATTTATATGTCTGAAATAATTTTAATAATATTATAAATGTTGTACATATTTTTAATTTATGTTAAAATTTATTATAAACCAATACAAAAATAATGTTTATATTTAAAGAATATAATAAAATATCCATGTATTTATATTTCATAGTTTAATTTTACTGCCAATTTATTTTATACGTATTATTATTATCATTGCAGGCTATATTGATGTTCAGTTTTGCTCCTATGAAGTTATCTCCAGAATGGTATGATGCTACCTCAAATAAATGGAAGATTTGTACAGAAGAAAATTGTCCGTGTAAAATATTACATTTAAATTTATCACCACCTGAATATTTAAGTACATGTTATTTACTTAATGATGGCCGTTTATTTGCTGTTGGTGGTTTTGATTCTGGTCAAGGAATGAAATCAGCCTATATCTTCAACTTAAAAAGAAATACATGGTTTGATATACCTAACATGAATTATGGACGTATCAAACCACACATTATGCAACTAAAATTAAAAGTATTTGTGGTAAAAATACCTATTATTTTTTAAAGTTTTGAAAAAAAAAAATAAAATTTTTGTCAGGTGTAACAAATGTGATTTTGATTTTTTTCTTGCTTTTCATTATTTTTTATTATTTCGTAATATCATAAATTAATAACATAATATAGTTTTTTGTGTTGCTCTGTTAGGCATAAATAATTTTAATAATATATCCAATTTTTAATGTTGATATGATTACATAAATATGAAAATTGCTGTTTAGTGAAGTTGTAATCACAGTATTTAGTCATTATTAAATTTCAATTAATAATGATTTCTTTCACTTTACTTTAAATTTAATTTCACCCACATAAATATTATATATTTTATAATCTTTATAGGTTTTACTGAATTTGTTTATAAATTGAATATATAATTTAAAAGTTATAGATTCAAGTTTTTTAAACTTAAATCATGGGTTCTTTTTTTGGCATCATCACTGCCTTTATTGTTAAACAAAATGTATATGAGAGAGAACCTCTTAATCAGTATAATTAACATTTTTTATGTTATTTGATTTTGAAAAGTATTTGTATTAATTGGATATTTAATTTTTAGATTGGTGGTTGCTCTGAAGAGAATTTTCATACTGTAGAATACTTTGATTTAGAAACACATCAATGGGTTGTTGTGAAAAACAAAGATGTAGGGACTTCTTCATTAAACAGTTGTACTTATGCGGCCTGTGTGAATGAATTCATTTATAGTGTAAGTTTTTTTTTTATATTTTGCTTATTAGACAAATATTTTTAAATACAATAGAATTTAATAGTCATTAACATACACTTTCTTTCAGTATATAATCTCAAATTTTGTTTACAAAATAAGTAAAATTTAATTGTAAAAACTTTGTTTTGAATTCATAATTTTGATAAGGTGTTCCACGATTATTTATTAATCACAAACAATTTAGTAAAAATAAAAATACTTAAATATCTAAATTAGAGAGTTCAATAAAAATTGTATCTAGACAGTAGCTACCCTAAAATAAAAGCCTTCCTCAAACAATAACTTCAAAAGAGGGAGTACCCTACACGATTTCTGCATAAATGTACAGTTAAGTTTATGTAAATTAGAAATAAGTAATAATTATAATTGTTAATAAAATTAAAACTGGCCAGTGGCTTGTAATTTGTTAATATTAAATATGAATTCACTGATATAATTATTTGTACCTGTGATGAGCACTTCCACAGATAGATAATTTTAGATTCTCAGTGGTGAGAAGAAGCTTATGGTTATACAAAGATGTAAGGAAATCGGACTGGGGAGGTACTTTAGGAAGATCATTTTTCTTAATATACTCTATAAACCGTAAAATGAAAAGGAAAAATGTACGAATGTATATTAAAATATTACGGCCTTTTTTTTTTCTTGTGAACAACTTTTGTATCAGAAATTTTGTTTTGATTTAAAATGATAGGATTTTTTCTGAAAGTAAATCTGATTAGGAAGGTACTTTAAAATGTAATTTTTTTTCTCGTGGTTTTTCTGAGTACATCCGAAGAACCAGAAAAAATCGGGAGAACAAGAAAATAGGTAAAATATTAAACAAATATTATTAAGAAAATGTATAATGCATATTTAATCATTTTACCATAATATAACACATATATATATATATATACGAGGGCTAATCAAAAAGTATCGAGACTGATAATATTACTCGGAAACCGAGCGCTGAAGAGCAAAACGATTTGTAAACCAAGATTCTATGACTTATACTGAGCACATCCATTCGTATAAAATCTCTATAAACTTTTTCGTTTTGATTTGACGATATTTTTCTAAAATTTGTTTTTCATGTTAGGCGATTTAGTAATGAATCCAAAAGAAGCGGAACTCGCTGCTATTCGAGGGCACATTTTCAGTTTTTCAATTGACATTTAATGGCAAAAATCATGAAATGTTGCATCCCTCTGAAACTGGAAAAAAATGCAGACAAATTTTTAAAAATTTCCAAATCTGTCAAGTTACCCTTCTTTTGGGTTTATTACAAAATCGCCAAACTCGAAAAATATATTTTACAAAAATGTCAGTGAAATCAAACCGAAAAATTTTATAGAGAAGCAATTAAAACAAATGTACTCAGAAAAAGTCATAGAAGCAAGTGATACCAATCCTACTCTTCTTCGATGCTCCTTTTCCGAATGATACTACCAGTCTTGATACTTTTTGATTAGCCCTCGTATATATATATATATATTAGGGTGGTCCTTAGNATATAGGACAGAGGGTAGTTAAACGGTTTTTTGTATTTTATTCGAAAACCATAAGATTTATCATAAAAATGTATTGAACTTAAATTGTAGAATAAATTAAGTACTATAAAAAAATGTTTTTACAAAATTTTCGTAAATCTATTATGCTATATAATAAATAATAAAATATAAAATATTTAATTTATTTGGGAAAATTCATCACCTTTTGAAATTATTTATATATTATTATTAAATTTGGTCTGAAATAATTATTATCATGGGAATATTGTACATACCTTTTAGTTAATACCTATTTTATTAAGTCCATTAACTCAGTTATCTTATCGATTATTAGATATTACGATTTATCTTTAAATAGTTTCCATAGAATTTATGAATATTATTTGTTAGTCAACCCGTGATCGTCGTAACGTCATGTGCTGTGTATGATATTAATGATATTTTATTATTTCTATTTAAAGTTAAGTTTTTAAATTGTTTTTTGTATTTATTAAAATAAAATTGTCGACGTTTGTTAAAAATGCCACGAAAGACAATATATTTGATTGGATCAATAGATAATCAAATTCTCGGCAGTAAACTACCTACACTAAGGGACTGTATGAAAGTTTTATTTTTTAATATACGAATAGTGAAAATGAATTTGTCAGAAAGTGCATATCTAGCTATTGATGAATGTATCATATTCTGGAAAAAAGCATGAATTCCAATTCGTAAAAATAGGTATTAACTAAAAGATATGTACAATATTCCCATGATAATAATTATTTCAGACCAAATTTAATAATAATATATAAATAATTTCAAAAGGTGATGAATTTTCCCAAATAAATTAAATATTTTATATTTTGTTATTTATTATATAGCATAATAGATTTACGAACATTTTGTAAAAACATTTTTTTATAGTACTTAATTTATTCTACAATTTAAGTTCAATACATTTTTATGATAAATCTTATGGTTTTCGAATAAAATAAAAAAAACCGTTTAACTACCCTCTGTCCTATATTTAAGTCTCTTGGGGCACGGGAAAGGGATGAGTAGTTATGCACAAATTTCTTCAATATAACTTTTATATGATAATAAAAAAAAATGGAAGGCCCAGCAATTAAATTTCAAAGGTGTGAAATTAAGGACCACCCTAATATATATATATATATATATATATTGTTGAAAAAGCAACACTATAAATTGAACTCCGATCAGAATCGTTTTTTTGTTAGCTATGGTTTATCGTTGCTTAGAGGTGTACATTAAATTTCCATCTATATCCTACCTTCCCAATTTTTCATCTATAACATGCCTGCACCCACATACGAAGTATGCTCGTCTTTTTAAAATTATAATTTTTTAAAACACAGAACGAAAATGACGGATCCATGTTCAAGAACCGAACGGACTAAGAAGGTATTATAGAGTGTCAGTAGTTCATTAGGCAAACTAAAGTTAGTTGAATATAACTTAATATATCCCAGAACGCGAAAAGCTTTGCCAGTCATGTAATCAATATGGTTTAGAGAGTAAGGTAATTATTATGTCAGGATATCGTATAAAAAATCTTTATGAATCATCGCCAAAAAGGAGAAAAAGGTAAGGAGAAACAGTTGAATACATAGTATTTAGAAAAATAGTAAATAACAGGGGACCTAAGTGGCTACCTAGCGAAACTCCGTATGATGTTTAGAAGAGATTGGATGACTTGCCAAAGAGACTTACAAATTGACGGCACTCGCTAAGATAATATTTAATCCATGATAAAAGTTTCTCATTAACACCTAGTCTATTTCATCCGGGACAGAGCCTTGGGTATATGATAGAGAATTTAACGCTATATTGACCTCTTCGGTAGATATAGACAAATTTGATGGAAGGAAAGAAAACTGTCTGTTCGTAAACACATCCGATTAGGCATTAGAAGTAAACTGTGGGTCTTTGTATACAGAGAAGTGAGAGAGCGAAGAAGCGACTTGGTCACCAGTAGCCTTAATGCCATCAAGATGAACCTCATGAGGTATTGTACTTTTACCTTGGGTATTACGAACAAATTCCCAAAAAGATTAGGATTGCGTATAATGTAAGTAATTTCTGTAGAGACCCTTAGATTCAGATTTACTCTGTGAACGTAGTTAAGAGTAGACTAAATAGCAATTATAACCTCCTAGTGTTTTGAATAATTTATGAGATTATTTTTTCTTTGCAAAAAAGTTTATTTGACTATTCGAAACTTATTTAGGGTAGGTTTGCAAACGATGCGTAATGAAACCCACTTATAAATATTATTAAGCAATGACTTCTGAAGAAAATCATTAGATTGATCAGTTGATCTAAAGTTAAAGACATTATACCAATCAATAATCATCAAATTTTGAACAATCCTCTCATAGTTGACATTTTTAAAATCATAATAAGTGCGATGGGTTTCAAGTTTAAGGAGGTCTGAGAGATAAGGACAGGGAATAGTAAGGGTTGAGTGGTACATGTAACATGGAACTAGAATATCAGTAGTTTGGAAAATTTGGGCAGATTTACTGAAAATTAAGTGGAAAAGGTACCCAGTATTGTTAGGAGTTTGGTTTTTTATCATGAAGTAAAGCAGATTAAATTGATTACCAATAATTCGGATATTATCAGTATTAAATTATAAACAGAGAGTCACATTGTAAAGTAATAAAGGAGCCAAGATATTTATATGGTAAATTAAATATATATTTTTTTTGTGAACAAAATTGAAAATACATATTATTATTATATAATAGTATTGTATATAAATGGTTGCCATGTTTATATTATGATGACAAAATATAATTGACATTAAAAAAAAATATATAACTATTTCATGCATTTTCTATCAAAAAATGTAATATAACTATAGAATGCATACATCGTTTTCAGTTTTTCATTTATTTTTTCATCCCATAAATTTAATGATAATATTTATAGTAATAATAATAATTATGTTTTTGTATTCTTTTTCGTTCAAATGGAATAATTGATTTATAGTATAAAAATATTTACAAAACCAGTTGTTTGTATTACTACTAATACTATTTTATGCAAATAGTTTTTAAAATAAAGATTATAGCAACAAAATATTTAAGTATGTTTGGATTAAATTACTCTATGAATAACTAATATTTTATGTGAAAAAATTTACATTTAGATTTGGAAATATTTACTATTTTTTTGGATTTGCAAATTTGATATGGAATTTTAATAAAAAAGTTAGTAATATCCAACAACAAAAATTATTTAACTATCAAATATATTTTTTAAAGTTGTAACATCTACTAAATATTACATTATTCTACATTTCTAAAAAATATATTTGAATTGTCTCAATTAAATATCATTAATTATAAAGTAAATCTCTATTCTAGATAATGGAAATGTTTCTAAAGTCCAAAATGATTAATTAAAATGATGTATAAATTAAAAGTTTGTAATAAAAATTATTTCCCCCTGAATTTTCTGTTGCAATTCTGTTACTATCACTGCATTTAACTATTGTTGCTCTTAAATTTTTAAAAATTCATTTTTTTTCAAACTTATACAAATTAGTAATTTTATATGATAGCTAATCAATGAAAAATACCTGATAAATTATTATTTTTTATTCAGAATTAATTACTGCAGGTTAGATCTACTATTTTTACTAGTCAGACCGAGAATAGATAAATTTTAATAGCTGTAAACTTTTTCCATGATATACTACATCATTTTTTAAAAAAAAGCACAAACCGATTGAAGGAATAGTTAAGGAGATTTCCAGTTCCAGAAAATAACATTTCACAATTTTATGTATAGATAGATCATAAAAAAAGAACATATCAACATTTTTTTTGAATATGGTTAAGATTTCAATATTTCTGAAATAATAAATTAAAATGTGTTAACTAGTATTTTTACTTTGTACTTTTATTATAGATTGAACCATGTGGATCTGGATATTATAATTCTCTCAATGATGAATGGAATTCTATTGTCCAATTACCTATTATAATGCAAGGTGCTGCTGTATGCACATTAAATAACAATATTTATGTTATTGGTGGACGTTTTGAGGACAATTATTTGAAAAGTGTATTTGCATACTGTACAGATACCAAAGTATGGGTGGCCATTGCTGACATGAACTGTCCTAGATCATATTCTGGTAGTACAATTTTTGTATACGAGTATATATATTTTTAGACCTATTTATATTATATAAATGTCAATATTTGTTGTAGGTGCTGTAGTTATGAATGGCTTTATTTATGTTTTTGGTGGAAAAGCTGACGAAGGATCCTATTTAAATACTTTTGAAATATATGATTCTCATGAAAATAAATGGACTCTTTCGAATACCTTGATGGAGAATGGTTGCATTAGTATAGATGCATTCGTTGTTGATAAAAGTTGCATCTTATTTCAAAAATTATTTAAATGTACAATTCGCAATATTATTCATTAAAAAGTAATATGCAATAATAAAGAGTGCCCAACATCCAAAATTGTACGTTCCTTATAATACTACAAATTATTTAGCCACTGAACCGCTTAGAAAGTTAATAATAAACGCTAATATGGACCCTTATTTTTAAATATATTTTTCTTTCTTCAATTTATTGTACTTCTATACTTCTTATTTATTTAGTCATACATGTACTTAAGTATACCATTGTATTTATTCTTTATTAATATTCAATACGTATAATATATTCAGGCTATATTTATTACTTAGCTATTGTATATATCATAGTTTTAGTTCTAGTGAACTAATTTTTTTCGACTTAATTAAATAAAAGTTTAATAAAATAAAAATTATATTAAATAATATTATCTAAGTATGTATTTTATTATACTAGAAATTGTTCGATTTTATTAGTTTTTAAGCCAATATTAAGGTTGTAGATTGTTAGATTTGACAATATTTACTATTTTTTTGGAGTTGAAAATTTGATATGGAAATTTTTTTAAAAAAAATTAGCAATATCTAACAACAAATATCATTTAACTATGAAATATATTTCTTCACCAAAATATTTAAGTTAACACCCAAAATTATCACCAATTTTATATACCACTTACCTTATACATTTATATTATGTATAAGACGTTTGGACTAAAAATATACAAAGTAAATATAAATAATAGTTCAACATATTCTACTAGTAGTTACATGAACATATCAGTGGTTGTTTTGATAAAACATCAAAAGGGGGGGATGGCGATTTTAAATTTGTTAGGCTTCATACCATATTGACATATATCAAAAAAAGGATTAAATTTGTTTATGATCCTATTATAAGCTACATATAAGTTTCATTTTAGATTTTGAGTGGAACAAAGACACTTATGGTTTTACAACAGTTTTATCTGTGGACAAATTTTCTACCAGAAACCTTTCTCTAATGTATACAATATAGCAACTTTTCCGAAAATTAATTTTGTTAGTGATGTACTTTAAGAAAGTCATTTTTTTTTCGGAGTTTTCTCAACAAATGTGAAACCTCCCCCAAAAAAAACGGGAAAATTATTTTTTTTTTGTCAACAACTTTTCTATCAGCAATTTTTCTCCGATGGTCCGATTTACAATGGTAAAAGTTTTTTCAAAGAAAATTTGACTGGAGAGGTACTTTAGGGAGGTAATTTTTCGATTATCCAAGAGTTTTCCCAGCAAGTAAATGTGAAAACTTAGGAAGAACGGAAAAATCGGACAATATTAGACAAATATTATTAAAAAAAATATATAATTTCTATTTAATTATTTTATCATAATATAACATATAATATAAAGTTAACAAAGCATCACTACCCATTGAACTCCTCTCAGAATAGTATTTTCTTTAGAAATAGTTTATCGTTCCTTGAACATACCAAACAGTTAACAAAAAATAAAAAAATCCAGTGGGCGATTGCCCCCATTGGCCACTCTCTCTCCCCCTAAGAATTGCCACTGGAACACATCGCCAGAACAATAACTATAATGAACTGTTATCACAGGCTCTGAAGAACGTATTTTATTCCGTTTTTTTCTAGAATATATCTAATGCTTTGCTTATTTGTCTAGTATTCGGTGATATTTTGGTAGACACTACATATGTAAAATTTATTTAGAGGGTCTAAATGATGTTTTACTAAATTTTAATCTAGAAAAATCAAGGTAAAATGGCTGAATAAATAATACGCAGTCTTAATTATGAAAAATTGTCAGTTACTATCTTTCACTTTAACAGCTCAGTATGTACCTGGGTTTATTAAGAAGGATTTATGTACAGCTAGCATAGGGATTTGGATTTTTTAATTATATAATATAAACTATATTATATAATAATATTTATAGTTAAATAAGTACATAAATATAGTTCTCCAGACATTAAAGAAAAGAAATGGTCTGGAGGGATATGACACCCAAATCCCCTCCCTCGTAATTATACCAATTATTAACTTTTTGATAGAGATTAATTCAATTCTATCACAAGTATAATAAAAAATTCAAATATATCTTATACAAAAGATATGATTTAGTTTTAATATGTGAAATTATTTAATTCAAATTGAATTTTCTTAAATTCGTTTTTGTTGATANAATATTTATTGATTTATTTTTTTAAAAATCAACGGGTTTCCAAATATTTAGTGAAGTACGTTACGGTTACGAATTACGTTACTGAAAAATTGCCCAATCAACAATCACTTATAGAATCTCAACTTGCGGAAAAGCTTATAATATACAGGTAAAAAAACTTTCATGGACATAAAATTACCTTCAAGGAATAGCCTTCAAACTGCAATATTTCAAATACTGATATTGCATGTAAACATTTATTTTAATTATTTATTGATTTATTTTTTTTAAAAATCAACGGGTTTCTAAATATTTAGTGAAGTACGTAACGGTTACGAATTACGTTACTGAAAAATTGCTCAATCAACAATCATTTATAGAATCTCAACTTATGGAGAAGCTTATAATATACAGGTAAAAAACCTTTCATGGACATAAAATTACCTTTAAGGAATAGCCTTCAAACTGCAATATTTCAAATACTGATATTGTATGTAAATATTTTAATAAATTCATACTTAAAAAACTTAATATAAAAAGAAGTTTTATGTAAATTGTCCTTCTATAATTATAAAAAATTAAGTTTCAATCAAAGTTATAGTACTGATAAGTATGTATTATACATTTAAGAAACATCAATAATTACTGTCTCTCCCTAAGCACGGGTAATTGGAGACAAATTGTTTCCCTTTTTATTACTATTATTATTATTAAATTGTAATTATTATAAAATAAAAATAAATCTATAAATCTATTGAAAATTATTCAAATTGCAGTTCAGAATTATAATTAATATGATAACATTTTGATAGAGATTAATTCAGTTCTATTGCAAGTATAATAAAAAATTTAAATATAATTTTTACAAATGATATAGTTTAGTTTTAATACATGANTTCCTTTTTATTACTATTATTATTATTAAATTCTAATTATTGTGAAATAAAAATAAATCTATAAATCTATTGAAAATTATTCAAGTTGCAGTTCAGAATTATAATTAATATGATAACTTTTTGATAGAGATTAATTCAGTTTTATTGCAAGTATAATATAAAATTTAAATATAACTTTTACAAATGATATAGTTTTAATACACGAAATTATTTAATTAGCATAGAATTTGTCTTTTGTATTTTATACATAGTATTTGTTGATTACACATATTCAGAGATATTAAATAGATAACTTATGTAAAACAACACAATAAAAAATTAAGAAATAACTGTTAATCACAAATTTCTGAATCAAAAGGGCAATCAAATATTTACATTTTAAGTCAATTGACTTTTATGTTAAANTTAAATTCGTTTTTGTTGATAATACACATTCAGCTATATTAAAAGATAACTTATGTAAAACAACACAATAAATAATTAAGAAATAACTGTTTATCACAAATTTCTGAATCAAAAGCGCAATCAAATATTTACATTTTAAGTCAATTGACTTTTGTGTTAAAACACATATTTTCAAAGACTATCATGCTTTGTTTCAGAAGTCATAAATACAATTTTAAGAATTGTTTAATAATGAAATATGATGCAGAGACAATATTACTCAAAATGATCTTCAGATGGACAAAACTTTAACTAACACTGTTCTTCAAGTTAATGATACTTATGAAGAAATTATTGAATATAATTCATTATTACCAATTGAAAATGAAAATCAATTAAATGAATCAGAGTGGAAGTGGTAATTTATAATAAAAAATAAAAAAATAAATAAAATAAAATAAGCTTAGCCAATTTTGGGTTTAGAATTCAAGTTGATATAATATGAAAATTGCTTGAAAAAAATTCAATAAATTAAAAATAGGGTTCGCCAATTAAAAAACAAGAGTAATGAGTAATAAAGTGGCCTCTGTTTCCACACGGACAAACAGTATATAATATATATTATATTGCATATTTATCTAGTAATCCTAGATTAACCGATCAAAAATAAGCTGTATTCACAAATTTCAATGAGTTCTTCTTCATATGTATCTTTGATTTGTTAACATTTATATTATAACGTTATTTTAATATATAATTATAAATACGTTAATTTAGAAGTACTATTAATATTAATATATAATATTAAAGCCATTGACTTAATTAAATAAACTTTTAATAATATATATATTATTAACAAATAGGGTAATTCACTAAGCTTCCCCAATTGTTTTTGATTAATTTTTGTATATATTTAAATTCTGATTATTTGAATTTTAAAGTTTAGTTAAATTCATATTTTCGAATACTTAGATTTTTCACAATATTTAAGTAAATTCCTGTCACGATAACAACTTTTTCAAGTGAGAACCTATATTTAAAATTCCATAAATATACGGAGAATTACTTTAAATAAATTTTGGTGCCATCATTTTTGATTCTTGTCGACTCGTTAACGATTGTTTCATTTTTAATTTTAGGTTTGGGGAGAGTTATGGGGCACTAAACCGATTAAAACCTGCATACCATACAAATAATGCTAGCCATATATTACAGTTATGATTATTGTTAAATTATTATTTAAAAAAAAAAAAATAAACACAACGATTTCCGTATACTACGGGCACTGACGGTTGTTTTGTACTCCGTGGAAAAAGCGTATATCATTTAAAACAAACGGGTTAATTATTTATGTCACCGAAATGTCTTAAACGCGTATATTACGATGTGGGACGAGACAAGATGCTCCGCGATGATGCGAATCGTTGCGATATATTGGAAATCACAATAACTTTTTTTCGGAATTGTTTTATTTCTCTACGACCCACAAGAAACACGAGTAGCTCTAAAATGTAATTTTATTTACGGTGGGGGGGGGGATAAACTGACTACCTATATACTTTTGATTTTCGAACGGCCATAAACAACAGACAGAATATCAGTTTGAATGCGTTTCAGTATGTT